AAGTCAGGCAACCTAGAACGGTGATGATTACAACAACCTTCATAGATACAACCCACAGATGAAACTGAACATTTCATTAATGATGGAGACAATTGGGGCCAACTCAATTCAACTTGAGAACAAGGCCATAAGTTTAAAGACTCTAATGATCGGATAATTACTATTGGAAACAATATTGTTCCTAGTTAGTTATATCATAATTGCGGAAGAGGATTTGGTGATTTTTAGGGTCTCCAGTGGTTCACACCTTTTAAGAATACTGGATATTGTGAGTTATAATCGGAGAGATATATAGTTTTATGATAAATAGAAGTAGTCAGATGCGGAATATAAATATCAAAGTGCCTCCCAAGCTTTTAAACATCATCAAGCAACCAAGCAGAGACCTTAACAATATAATATTATTTTTCAAATTCTATTTTACTTTACTGATTTTGCTTCACTCTTAGTAGTCATAAATGAAACAACTGAACTGGTTCCTTTTTAGATACTTTCTGTCTACAGAAATGAATCTTGGTTGACCTAGACAACTCTGAGGTTTATCAGGTTGTCTCTGCCTAATACTGACTAATAAACTCCCTATAGTATACTGATCATGACTTAAAATCTAAGTTATGTGCAAAACCCATATGACTCCAAATCAGGTCATGTGTACAAACAGTAATCATAATATTATACAGCTTAAATGTGTTGTTAATCAAAACCATATCCCACATGATCCCAAAAAAGATCATGGGTTCAAATATTAAATATAACATAAGCAATCCTCTATAAACCACACTGGATTTTTAGTATAGACTTTCAATCCTTTTGTGAGGCTTTGTACTTATTGTTGGAGCCCATCAACTGCCTTTCGGTAGTTGTTATATACCAGTTGTTGTATCTGACAAGAACAGGATTATATATTATTAGAGATCTAGCTCCGAAAGTCTATGTCTACTCCTGTCTTAATAACATGATGTTGGAAGTAGTTGGTATCAGTACATGCTCCTTGTTTATAAATATCTAGAATCAGCAAGAGGAATAATTTGGTGTTGCTTTGTGCTTGTTTAAGTGTAGAAATTCCTAAGAGCCATGGAGGCTCAAAGATAGATGATAGGGTAGACTGGCCGCCAAAGAGGACAGATATACTTATTGGTGGAGTATGAGTCCTCTGTAGAGGTAGGTTGGAATGTGTACTTATCTCCTTCAGACTCAAAGAGATCATATGAGGAAAAGGTCTTTTTCCATAAGCATGGAATAAAGACAAGGCAGTGAGACAGGTATTTCAGCTAATGAGAAAAGTTCTTGGTGAAAAATATATTGTAGTTTTTGCCTACACTGTGGTTGTAGCAGAGATAGAGCAGGTGGGTGGTAACTCTGAGTTTTTTTCCTTTACTTTTTTTTCTCTTATTTGTTTCATATATCATATATCCAGTTCTTTATTCATATTCTAAGACTAGCTAAGATGCAAGGGTCATGTCACCTATGGGCTTGTAGTCACAAAACTTCAACCTCTGTTCAGATTCTGGCAGATGAAAGAAAAACTCTCCTAGGAAAGCAAGTAGGTGGAAAAGACTTCCCAAATCAGCAAGTCACAGTGTACACTATCAGAAAACTACACTCAGGTAATCAAAACTAAGGAAATCTGCGACCCTAACAGATGACACCCCTCAACATACATGAAAGAAGAATGCATGAAGAGAGGAAGCATCATAACCTATAAATCTCAGTGCAAAACCGTGTAGCTTAGGTGACTGGATTCAAGCATTATCAGAAATCCAATAGCCAATCCCATACACTAAGCTGAATAAAGGGATCTATTGATATATAGTTTTGCAACAGGTATGCAAGAAAGCCAGGAATTAAGTAGAAAACTCTCTTGAAAACCAAGTCATGAGTACATAGCAGTCCAAAGAAACTCAGGCTAGCCTTTAAGTTAGGCTAGAATGAAGAGTACAAGGCTCAGAGAGGAGAAAAGAAGGGCAATAGGATGCTAGTCAGTAGTAGGATACCACCTAGGAGGAGAAGATAATATTTGGCAGTTGAGTTGGTACCAGCCGTAGGTGAAAAGTAGGAGGTAAGTGGATCCTAGTCAATCAAAAAGTAGGAGAGAAGAGAGGAGGAGTAGACTGAAATGCAAAAACAACTATTAGAAACATATTTGTATCTTGACTAGATGGCCTCCATAAGTCTTCTTTGTCTAGTGGTGTATTACTGCATCTCTCACATAGTCTCTTGTACCGATAGAGATAGTGTCACTTAGTAGACAAGATACTACTACTTAAAGAGGGTAGAGAGGATGAGGGTGCCAGAATCAACTCTGGTTAGTTGATAAGAATAAAGTAACTCCGAGGAGAAATAGAAGAAATCTACAGTAATAGCATACTGTAAACTGTATTCCCAGGTGTCTGTTGTAAGGAAAAAGTGAAAATCCAACTGTGCTGATATTAAGCAATACTAGAGCAAAAGCAGGGTAGAAAAAAAATCAATATCTTGAGATGTTGGGTGGAAGGGAGAAAGGCCTCAAGAGAGTAGACCTTAAGAGAGAAGTTAAGAGGAGTTTCCCAAGGCAATTGGAGGCTAAGAAGTGATGGCCTAGTCTCCCCAGTAAGGGAGGAACCAGATATAAAAAGTCATGAGAAAAGTTGTAGTATTGACAAATAGAAAATAAGTTACAATCACTAGAGATGTAGCAGAAACTGTCGATTGGTAGTAACTGGGAGTAACTAGTAGTATATGATATCTATTTAAGTCTATGTAAGTTATCCACTACTTTTGAAATCTAATACCTTCTGAAACTAAGGAATATATTATATAATGCTACTAGCTTAATGATATTAAGTTTTACTGTTTGTTTCTTTAACACTACTGTCAAAACATTGAGACTTTTATTTATATTTAGTGTTCATTGCGGGCCCTCATTTCCGACGAGTGGGGCGCCAAGATCAGGTTATTAACTTCAAGTTAAAAAAGAAATCATCCAAATCGGACCAAAACTGAGTGAGTTATAGTACTTTGAAGTTAAATAACTTCAAATAGCTCTAGCTCCATCAGTTTTAGTCCATTTTGACAGACTTTTTTTTCCCAGTTAATGAGATTAACTGAGGTTCTTTTTTCCCCACTCCTGAGAAACTGGCCCCCATAATGAAGACTATTTATATTTATCCTCTGAAGAGTTTATTTCATGATTGGTTGTACTCTTAAGATTCCTCTTCCTCCAGGAGCTCCTATTACACTCTACTGTTCTGTGTAATATGTTACCTTTATAGTAGGATAAGTTCACTTCATTGTTAGATAACCTGTAGACTAAGGAAACATAACTCTTGCTCAAAAGTAGTGTAACTGTATTTGGAGTTACTCTATCAAGCAGGATCACTCTACAGTAAGGTAATATTGAGAAACTCCCAGTATTCTATCTTCTAAGACAACTTAGGTGCTTGATTTACCTAGTAGTCTAACCTAAGTTACCTTCCTACCAACTACTCTTGTACCTTTTAGCAAGGAAGAACATGTTATGCTTCATGTTATGCTAGAATATGTAACTAAGGTACTCTTTTACTACAGTATACCCTACTGCCTATTATATATAATCCCTTCAGTACTAGTTTCTTGATACTTGTATCATCCTACATCTGCCAGTTGCATTCCAGAAGCGCTACCATTCTCAACAATACAGTTGCATCCATGTTCATGTCCCCTGATCTAAAATGAAGGTTTATAAAGTATGGGTTGGATGATTTTGTCATTTTTGTCATAGTTCCAACTACTGAGTTTTGGTGACACTCCACTCGAAAATAACATACTATAGAAAATTGAATAATTGAATGTTATACTATCAAGTTGAAAATTCCCTTCTTTGGAACGGGAGTAAAAAAAAAGCACTGCAAATACACAGTCCTTTTCCCACTCTCGAAAGAATACAAGTACTTAGTAATGACAGTGTGGCGTGGCGACCAGACGCGGGCTAAAAAAATGTGGGAAGAACAGACCTCAAGGAGACTCCAGGACCGGAGGGGCCTGCAAGGAGGGTGCTTGGAGAGTTCCTTAGACCTCCTTGGTAGGAATAGGATGTGGGGAACATATGGAGAGTAAGACGTAGTGAGAGTGCAATATAAATATAAGCTTCTGGCAAGTGACTTTTTCCCTCACAGCAATGATCCTTAAGTTGTGGGGCTTCTGGTTGGCTCATTTAACAAAAAAATGGTTTCATGAAAGAGGAGCAAGAGGAGCAAGAGTTGGGAAGAAGAATAAAACCCTCGTTGTAACGCTGTGAAAAATGATGTGTCATCGGTAAAATTCCTTGAAGACTCGGTTCAACTAGGGGCTCATATTTCTTTCGCCTCGCTAATCCATACCGGTACTCCCTTCCGTTCTCGCTCTGAGGGATGGATGGAGATGATCATTCGCAGGGCGGTGGAGGAGGAGGCTGACGCAGTGCTGGTGTTGGTGTTGATGGTGTCATCATAGGAGCACAGGACGATACTGAAGTTCAAGCCCCAGTACCGGTAGGGCTGTGTTAGAGTTACTGTACTCGTACAGCCTAGGATGGATGGGTAAACCAGGGTGGGTTGGCTGGTTGGAAAGGTAGTCTAGGGTAGGTTAATTCCTTGATGATAAGTTTGAACTTGCTCACCTGGGGTAAGCTATTAGTCCGGTCGTTTGACCTGTAAGAAGAATTACTCGTAGGTGCGGCGGTTCTCTACTCTACATTAATTTTTATACTTGTATCACCTTGGGTCTACCCCCTGGGTGCTTTCCCCATGTAAGGGGATGTCTTGAGCCATGTTTAGTGTGCTACACATTTTTTCTTGAGGTGGTGAAGGGCTGAAATTTGCTTGATAAACTATCCTATCTCGGGAGTGCACTGTACGAGTACGAACCGGATGGTACGAGTACTCGAGTACGGTACTCGTACCCGTTGACTAGTGCTCTTACAACCTCGTGCCTTCCTCTCTAACCCTCCCCCACCCCTCCTTGCGATCTCCATCACCCACCACCCTCCTTCAGTGCTCCATAACCTGTCCTCCTTCCATCCTTGGCAGACAAGAGCTTGCAAAAGAGGACCCCGTCTCTGGCAAGCTCCGCTGGAGGTGAAGTTCGAGATATACATCGCGTTATTCTGGCCTGCGCCCTCTACTCGTACAGTTGGCGGTCATTGTTTCACTAATAGCACTCTTACTGTTTTAGCTCTCTTTTTATTGATACTCACCCCCTGCTTATTGGTTTCTGGTTTTGTTTTTTATCTTGGCCACTCGTTCTTGTTTTATTCTTTCCCTCTTTCCCTTTTGTTGTATTCCATCCATCCTTTTGTCGCTGAATTCTTTATTATTATTATTTTTTTAAAAAATCATACCTTGATAACTTCTCACCCACCGAGATAAGATAGAAAAGTTTCCTGTGCTTTCTTTCTTTCTTCAAAAAAAAAGCTCAACCATGGCGTCTCCTGTGCGAAAGAAGCCGCTGCCGGTGAGACTACCGCTGTCTCCCCAAAATGTTGATTTCAAGGGGAAGGGGAAGGGAAAGGGGAAGGGGAAGGGAAAGGAGAAGGAATGTGGATCGGGTTTCGAGAGGCTGCCGAGAGAAATTATACAACAGTCTGTTCTACTGTTTCTACAAGTTTAGTTGGGTGCTTTCCCCAGTTCCGAAGGCTAATAGAGAGTAGAATATTGTATGCAGCTGATCCTAATACCTTCGATTCTCTAACCCTTGTCAATTCAACATGGCACAAAGCATCACGAACTCCACTTCTCTACGCCCACCAGTTGCGAAAGTCCGGTGCAGTAGATGTTCCGGATGAGCCGAGCGAGGACTCACTCCCCAACCTCATTCAACGTTTTTCGGCAAAGGCCCGGCGGGAGCTCTTTGAAACTATCCTACACCCACAGATCACCGAAATCCAGCTCATTTGCGAGGCCTCTTCGTCAGCTGCTGCATTCCCCGGTGGTGAGCCATTCAGGTTTGAGTTTTCGCCGAGAGGGAGACATCTTCTGGCGTTTAGCTCGAGTCGGATCTTTGTGCTTGACCTATCTAAGCCGGAGGTGGATGTTAAGCGGGAGCTAAAGATTGGTAAAAGACCGGTATCTGCCGCTATTGTCGACGACGGGACCGCTATTGCTGTTCTCTCTAGTAATCATCACGTTACCTTATATGATCTCACCCGGGACAAGGCGCGCATTTTGAAGGCGATCCTTCTGGAGAACGAGCCAAGGACCATCGCTCTTTCACCAGGAGCCGAAGTACTGGGTGCGGCGTACAACGGGGGGATAGAAGTCTATTCCTTACTCCCGGATGCCGTCGCTTCAGATCGCCGGGCAGTAAATTGTGATACTGTCGATTCTTTGGCCTTCTCATCTGATGGGACCATTTTACTGGGGACGACGCTTAATTCCAGGTCGCCGACTACGGTAATTGTCTCAGCACAGCACTTTTCCACAGATTTGCCTATGGAGGGATTGGCGCAACTATGGACCACCCAAGTCTTATTCCCTAGGAGCTCCCGTGATAGTAGCCATGCTAGCTTGCTGCAGGGGAGTCATGCAGAGGATGAAAACACCTGGACCTTTACCTACGACCGTGTGTATGAGACTTTCCGCGCTGTTAGAGTCGATGACCTTCGCAATGGGCATACGTACTTTACCGGACCTTCAAGTGAGAGCCTGGGAATTGTTCCGCCAACTACGCTGCCTGCGCCGACCAGAGATGGTCGGATGGTTGCCGCAGGATTTGGCGGGAAAGTGTGGGTTTATGGAATTCCGGGAAAGTTGGATTTACCCCCTGAGGGGTCTGAGGGGGGCAGTGTGAATAGCGTGTCGGCAACACCCGAACGAAGCAATAGTACTGCAGGGAATGGTGGAACTGGTAGTGGAGCGGGGGGGTTGACATGGGAAAGGGGTCAACTGGGGGCCATTAATGTTCCGCAGTGGCAGGTTCTTTGCGACAAAATGAGGAATGTCTTCATTCGAGGACGAGAGATCAGTGAGGTCCATTCGTTAGCTGGGTTGAGGTTTGTTCAGTGTGCGAATGGTACGGAACGTTTGGTCGCAGTGGCTGGGGGCGGGGTTGATGGTCTACTTGGGGAGGTAGGGGAAGAGGAGTTTTTGGCTATTGGTGGTGGGAGGGTCATGCTCTATGATTTTGGAAGGCGGCCGGGAGTGGGTGAGACGACGGTTATGACGCTGGAAATTGGAGATGGGATTCAAGGACCTGTGGAGACATTGGAGGAGCAACAGAACGACATCGAGGTAGAAGTAGACCTCGTTCGGCGTAGGACGGTTGCGCAGCAGAGAAAAGGTGACCAACGACAGTCGGCACTGCGATATGCTAGGAGTGATACTAGTAGTGTTAGTCCACCTCTGCCACCGGTTTCGAGACAGCCTCAACCGTCTCCTCCGCGCCCATCATCTGCTTCTGCTATCTCTAGGCTTTCGTCTTTTGATGAGAACGATGCTGGATATGAGGGTATGGACGCAATTCCTTACTATCACGGTGACCCACGCTCTCGGGGCACCCTACAGCGAGCGGCATCAGCGGCGAGAAATGTACCCCAAACTGCTACAAGTGCTCGCTATCTACGGGTGGTGGGCCCGGATGGCAGGCCCCTACAGAACCAGACGATGCCAGGCTTCCGTGAAGAGGAAGATTGGGTTCCTCCGCCGCCACCCTATACCCCAAAGAACGACAACGAACGCCCTCTACCCCCACACCTTCTTCAGAGCCTACAGGGCCCCCCACGCTTCAACAGCCTTGCCGATGCATCCGAGGAGCCACCGCGTGCTTCTAGTGCTCTCAGTCGTACACGGAGTACTTTTGGGGCGATAGTGCGCCGACCTAGTGTCTTCCGCATCTCCACAAATAACCAGCCCAACCTCAGCGTTCAACCCACTCACTCCTACGCCGATATCTCCCACTCACGTTCCGCTCCTGTTAGTCCCGCTGTGGGAAACCCTGGTGCAGTGCACATGGGTATTTTTGCAAGAACTGAGGAACCAGTATATATGGCGACGCAACAGCACAACCAATATAGCCGGCGTGGCAGTGCCAGTGACATCCTCACCAGTCCGCCAGCAGCTGGCTCAGTGCCAGGCATGTATCGCGAGTCTTCGGCGCCACTACCACGACAAAGTCACAACGACCCTGCAGGTCACTACACACCCTTACCAACCCCCCTGCCACCACTACCTCAGCCACCACAGGCATACTACGGCAACAGCCTCCTCCCGGACCGATTGCCGCCACAACCACGATCCCCAACCAACAGACGCAACTCGGCCCAATACCGCCCAATGCCCACCCGCAGACCAAGTCCAGGCCGCTCGCCCTCCAGTGGGCGTAGGGTAAACCTCCAAGAATCTTATGCGCCGAATTCTTCATTACTCGTGCCTAGCGAGAGCGGACATAGGCGGGGTCCAAGCTCGAGAAGCGGCAGCGTGAGGAATACTGGTGGTGGTAGTGCCGGTGCAGGAAGTATTCGCGTAGGCCGGGGAGTTTGCGGGAGCATTAGGAGGAGCTCGAGTCGGCCGGAAAGGAGCGCCGCTGCGAACGTTCGTGAGAGGAAGAAGAGGAGGGGGCAAAGGAGGGCGGTTGAGGAGCAAGCGGGGGATAAGATGGGGTGTGTTATTATGTAGGGGAGCTTGGGTGTTATTTGTTCCTGTTATTGTGATAGTTGTTATCGTTTTGGGTGGGCATTATTTCCATTCTGTTAGTGAGTGAGTGAGGTGTGTATATACGAGTTGGTTTCTGGAGGGAGTGTGACGCCCTCCGGTAGTTGTCTCTTAGGTTACATTTCTTTTCTGTTACTATATCAAGGCGGAATTGCCTTGGGCTTACTTAGAAGGACTATTGGTTTTGGGTTTTATCTTTTGTCTTCTTTTCCTCTTGCTAATTGCACAACTTTTATAGCCTAATAGTACTTGCAAGTGGTCTATCTTTGGTAGATAGACTACCTACACTGTGCTCCTCATGTATCAGAAATAATTCTCACATACACGAACCTCGATTTACAAGCATCACACGGCACACCAATTGCACGTATCGTAGTTTTTATCAATCTGTTACTCGTAGACGCAACTCCTATCATACTGAGAAACTTGATGGTATAGAAAAATGTCGAACACACGGAGTCGCGCCCAAGTAAGCAAACAAGCCCAGGCATGAACTATGAAGGTCCCTCCCGGTTAAGGAGTATTTTCGCTCTAGCAACGAATACAAGAAAAGAGCACCAACCCCGGCCCCCACAGACCTTCTACCGCAGGACGCGGTGGCGAAGAAGTGGTTTTCTTCACGTAACGGTACGGTTGGAAAGCTTTGAGCAGGAAAGCGGCTGAGGGTGCTTGCGTTGCGGTGTGAGTAGTAGGGCTTGGGCTCAGGAAGGGGATGGTGGGGAGGGCAAATGCAGAATGGATTTTTGTATAATATTATGTATGATACCATACAAATTTGAGATAATGACATTTTAGAAAGGCTGTCGTTGTTGCTGTATGTGAGGGTGATGAGGATGTTTGAGGTGTGTTCCCATACAGAAGGGTATCTACTCATACCGGTATTGTGGTATAATAATATTATTATTATTGTTTTCTTTTCCTAGCCGAGAGGTTTAAAACCCCGAGGCGCAAACACACAAATTAGAACAAAAAGGGGAAAAAAAAGCCAACAAATCCCCCAATTAGGGTAATTAGCACAGCACCATCTCACCTGACCAACCACTTCGATTTTCCCACACCTTTCTGGTCCTTCACTCTCCTCTCCTCCCTTATTAATTTCTGTGGGGAAAAATAATAATTCATCTCCCTTCTTGAGCACCCGTCGTCAACCATCGCCAACCATGACGAAAAAGAAGAAGAGGCAAAATCCTGAAGCTGAGGACCTCCTCGCCCGGCCATGGTGCTACTACTGCGAACGTGACTTTGACGACTTGAAAATACTAATCGCACATCAAAAAGCAAAGCATTACAAGTGTGAGCGATGCGGACGGCGGTTAAATACAGCAGGCGGTATCTAATACTCCTTCACTCTCCTTATCCTATTTCACCCTCCTAGTGCCCAGCTGATGTGAACGAAGGACTGCGCGTCCACATGGAACAAGTGCACAAGGAGCAACTTGAAGCCGTGGATAACGCCCTAGCAGGTCGGGAATCGATAGACCTGGAGATATTCGGGACAGAGGGGATACCGGAGAATGAGGTGAATGCGCACAATCAGAGAATTCTAGCTGCCGTAGCGCAGAGAGAAGCCGATCGCCGGGCGGCGAGCGGGCAATCTGGGAATACGCCCAAGAGGCCAAAGGTCGACATTAGCAGGGACTTGGACCCAGAGAATATTAAGAAGAAGTTGGAGGCGCATAAGAAGGCCATGGCTGCTGCGGCTGCAGGCAGTGGAGTTGCGGGCGCTGGGCCGGGGGGTGTGAGCCCAGTGTCAGCTGTGGGTGGGAGAAGTGCGAGTCCAGGGAAAGCGGGCGGGTATGAGCAGCAGCAGCCACCGGCTGCTGGATTTGTATGTTGTCTCCCTGCATTTCATGGTAGCGGTTGAGCTGAGTGGTGGCTAATCTTATTGTATAGCAAAATCCGGCCCCGGCCCCTTTTCAACAGGGTGCGTATCCAGTTCCGCAGGCACCTGCATACCCTGCTGCACCAGTCTATTCTCCGCAGGGCCAGGCAACTTATCCAGCACCTTATCATCAACCACCCTTCCAGCAACCCCCGGCATCTTTTGGTCGAGGAGCTCCCGTTCCACCTGGTCCGGGATACACCAACTTTCAACCTTCGGGTCCTCATGCTGCACAACCTCCTTTTGGTCCAAATGGTGGACCCGGGTATAACCCAAATCCGCACAATCAGTTCCAATCCCAGCAGGGACCACCGCCCCCGCAACAACATATTCCACGTGCTCCATCTTCCCTCCCTCAGCCCCACCAAATTCCTGGCCTTCCCCCACGGCCCAACGCGCCTGGACTCCCACCCCGACCTAATTTCAGCGGTGCACCCATGAACAATCCCGGCTTTGGCCGCGGGGGCGGAGGTTGGAACCAACAGCAGCAACAAGGACAAGGTCAAATGTACCCTCAAACCGGTGGAGCTAACTCTAGTTTCGCCGGAGCGGGGGGTTACACACCAAACGGCCCTCTACCGCAATCATATAACCAACCATCTTATCCACAACAGCAGCAGCAACCGCAGCTCGTGAGCCATAGTTATCAGCCACACAACACCAACGGCCACGGTCACGCGCACGGCAGAGGCGGGGGTCCCATCACCGAGGAAAACAAGCCCGCGCTGGAAACTACCCAGAGTCGTCTTCCCGACGCCCAACCTGCCGAAAAGAAAAAGGGCGAGAGGGAGAAGCCTAAGAGGGAGACTAAAATGGTGTATGCGGATAATGAGATCAGTCCCGTGAATTTTCCCTCCCCCGCAAACTCTTCTAATTCTTTTCAAGTGCTATGGCTAACGAGCATTTGTCGCTATAGGATGAAAAGAGAGCAATGCTACCGAGGTACGAGTATCATCCTCCCAAGACGGTTGAGGTTTCGAATTAGTTGCGTGAGCACCTTACCTTACCTTACCTTACCGGCGGGGGGAATTGAAATTGAGAGAAAGTGAGTGTGGAGGCCTGTGGCTTATTTTCACCATATTGTTCTTGGGGTTTTATTCGGCGTTTACCATTTTTCCTCGCTTCTTCCCCCGACCTCCGTTATGCCCTACGGCTTCGGGACACACAACGGCGAGTAACAATTGTTTCAAAAACTCCTTTTTATCTTATCGACCAGGCATCTCATTCGTTATCACTCTACAACTGTCTACCCACCGACGAGATGAGAAGAGACCGAGTAGAAAAAGAAATGAAAAGAAACGCAAAATGCAAAAACCTAATGGCGGTCAGTCGTAGTCTTTCTTAAGTGTTGCAATGTCCTGTTTTGTTGTCGTTTGGTCTGGTTTTTTGTTAGTTTTGTTTCCTTTTTTCTGCGCGCATCATATCATACTTTCCTCCTCACACATGCACGTTTTACGACTGAGCGAACGATCACGAACGACAATTAATCGATCACAACCAGTCGGATCGGATTCAGGGAAGAGTTCGTGAGGGAATGGGTCAAGGTACGCTAGGTTAGTCATGAAACCAAGACCAGAGAAACCTGTGCGATAGCGGATTATCTACTACGACTGGAGATAGGTAGACAGGATATGACATGATTTGGCGGACGATTGCGATGACAACTACCGAATTCGGCGTCGAGAGAATTTCTGGAGACCAATTTCACGCCAAGGCAAATCGTTCTTATCTTAATTCCTAGTGACGCTGAGCGGGGGGTTGTTTGGAAGGCAAGAACATGGACGGAATACCAACAACAAACCTGCATCACCTGGTTAGTTCTCGCTGTTGCTGTTCTTTACTTTTCCTTCCCTTATTCCCTTCCTTCGGGCCAGAGTAGCCTGTATTGTATGCTATCGTAGTTTGTTTCAATTTTCCAATTTTCCAATTGCCATTCTACGCACGCCTACGCTTCCGGTTCCCGTTCCTTGTTTCCGAGATGAGTGTGTGTCGAGTAGGTCAATTGGTGGCTTATTGCGATGAGATGAGGGGAAGTAGATAGATATAACATTCCCTGCGTGTTCTCTTGGTTTCTTTCCCTTCTGTCTAGTGCCCCTTCTGAGTGTTGCACCGCCTTGCTCCTGTTAGTCGCCGGTTGTAAGCCACGCTTCTGCTGCTGAATGCCACCAAAACATATCGTGTCACATCATATATTCTCTCCCCCCAGGGCTGTATCTTCACACCCCTAATCTCACTCTCCCAACCTGACTCCGGGTTCCGCCTTGCGATATTTTCTCTCGTGCACGCTGTAGGGCATCCATCTGTCGGTAGTTGCGTGGCTCGGGTGGAAAAAGTGAAGAGCGTATGTGTACAGGGCTCGTGCTGGCAGGGTTGGGCATTTGAATGCTGGGGGGGGCGCGTGTGATGGTCGTCTTCATGAATTGTCACTCGCCCGGACATTTTCGTTTTCCGAGGATGGGACTCGGGACAAGCTTATTTGGTTTCTGAGTCTTGGTTTCTAGTACCTCCCCATTTGCGGGGGATGACGGGGTTGTCGGGAAAAACCTTTGAGTTGGATACTCCAGTGCATCTCGGGTGATTTGGCACGTCATACCGGACCACATGCGACCCTGTTTTCGGTCTAGTCTTTTTCCATTTCGTGATCGGTGGATCTGTTTGCGAGGAGTTCATGGGAAATTTCTACTTGGATGTCCTTGCCCCTGCTAGGTTTTCCAAATAGGAGCGCTTCGCGAGAATATCTACTCGCAGTTGTTTAATTCTGCCTCTGCGGATCCAAAATAGTGGAATTCGGGCTGAGCGCACGAGACTGGAGTGTTTTTCGGGTGTTGTTTTGATAACAACGAACTCGTTTGCTTCGTAGATGACTGGAACGTGCAGGGGGGGGAGTGGTAAGGAGCAGTGTTTTCAGGAGGTCGTATGTTGGGGGAGGTACCAGCGGGTTGAGTGGAGGAACTCTGATCATCGAGGCTTGGATGGGATATGGGGCGGATTCCTGATGCACATGATGGAGAATGCGGGCTTGGGAGCCGAAGATTATGGCCCTTGTAGCCTCAATAGTTATAGAGTGGTTCTTCTACTATATACAAGCCCTAGGAGGCGGAACATACTCCGAGACTGTTCCAACTAAAGCGGTTTATTTGTTGCTTGTCATACAAGCCGCTGCTGTAAGGGTTCTTGGTCAGTTAATTACTCTTCCTAGGATTTTTTTATTTATTTAATTACATGTCGTATCTCGATGGTTGACTGTAACAATCTCATGTGTTTAGAGCTGCTGGTAGCGATTAAATGTAAAGAGAGAGGAGTGAAGCAGCTTGAGGAGTATGTTGTGATGTGTCATGATTGATAAGAATGCGGGACTGCTCATGAGTGGCTTAGACAGCAAGAAGGTATGATAGTATTATGAGAAACCAACGTATGATACGAACATGCTCCGTGTCTGTTGCAACTACTGCTCTTGATTTCCTATTTGGGAATGCCTTAACACCAAGTGCTCCAGTCACCTGTCAAAAGTCTTCGCAAGCAGGTCTCAATGCCAAGCCTAATTACATAATCAGAAATATACCATCCTAGTGACCCACCGAAGCCATGTGATCAAAAGTCTAAAGAGATGCTATCACTAGTATTTTGTGTACCACCCTTTTGCTTTAATAACTGCCAGTATCCTGTCAGGCATAGTATCAAGTATTGCTACAAAATACCCCTCAAGGATCTCCTCCCACACCTTAGGCAAGATTTCAGCCAATCAATTCTGAATTGTCTGTGGATATACCAGTTTTACTACATCAGGATAAATCTTATGTAGTACAAACTTCATGTATACACAAATGTGTTCAATTGGGTTTGCATCAGGGGAGTTTAGAAGATATTTGTACAGGATGATACCATGATCCTCAAAGAAGTCCATGGATATCTTTACTGTCTGGACTCATATGCCATCTTGTGTGAAAAGTGGATCAAACTCTATACCAAATAGGTATTGCCAAAAGGAAAGTAGCTGTTTCGATAATATGTTAATGTAATGTTCTGCATTTAAAGTCTTTTTATTGTCTAGACAATCAAGCTCTCCACACTCCAATTTACGGAAACAAGTCCAAACCATTAATGAGACACTTTTGTACTTTTGCTTACAATGATAACACTCGGGTAGCCCCCTTCTATGGGTAGTGAAATACTCGCTACTGCTTAGCTACCCCTTGCTTGTCTACAGTACACTCATTATGTCACACAATCCGATATCAATCAGTTAAGTTCCAATTCTAGTTCTGGTTTGTCCATTAGAGGCTTTTAACTGAAGGCTTCTTAGTAAGCTTACTTAGTACCGAGCTAGCAATCTGAACAGGTTCTGACTTTGCAGGAAGTAATTAAAGGGTAACATATTGACATGGAGACAGATAGATTGGCGAAGCTATACTTGTTAATTAGCAAATAGAAATAAAAATTTACAGTCTATATGGATAAACTATATAGTACATACCTCCTCTTGAGATGGAAACAAATCCTTCTTCCAAGAATAGTGAATTGAACTTGTATTATGTCAACATAGTTTTGGGAGCTGTCGAGAATAAGGAAGGTTGAAAAAAATATAGTTGTGTTCTGATAACTGCCTTAGAAATATTTGGACGGTACTTTCTGATCCTTACACTAGTCTTTCAATTAAAGAATAATTAAAAAAGCACTAAAAGAAGGCAATTATCACGCCTTTAAGCAATTCTGACATTTTTCTTTTTGTCTTGTTTTGGTTTGGAAGACTTTAAAAACCTTTATGAATAGCAGCTGTTACAGAAGGCCAGACCTAGATACATACCAGAGTCAAGAGACTAGGGAGATAGGAAAAGTCTTAGACTATCAATCTAACCAACTCCTATTCCACCAAGATGATACTCTCTTCCTCTCTCCTTAACTTGACTAAGCATTTGACTTGAATGCTACACCTGAACATTACTGCCCTCCCTGCCCATGTACAGATAACCTGAGCACATGGAATATGGCATCACAATTCTTGGGTGCAATAAGCCACTGTTTTGGACGTCTCACTGTATCGAACCATCAGTGTTCTGATTCACACTACCTAGTATTCCCGGTGTAATGAGCCTCACTTGGTATTACTATCATCTCCAGATTGTACTTTTACCTACTTCACTCATTCTTCATGGTCCATCTGGCATCTAGAGATCGGAAGGGTTTTTGATCAGACATACAATGAAATAGTCCCAATTCTGTCCACAGACTATGCTCCTTATATAGTGGTAGTGTTAGGAATACCAGAACCCGATACCTAGGAACCACCCTAAGTAGGGTAACCCCACTTGGAATCGGCATCTCTGGTCTCCAACACCCCCCTCCGGCTCCCTTACGGGGCCCGCATGTCGTCATATATATCAATCATAGTTGGGTCCTGTGACTATATTACTGTAGAATTGAAGTTGTTAAATTAACACCATATACGTCGTCGCTGTCCTTCTAACTGGATCCTGTTCGTAGGATAAGTGAAAGGGCACCTTCGGCTAGGTGTGAGAAGTGGAACAGAGTGATTCCGTCAACTACTCAGAGACATACTTGGCTTCAAAGACATAACACCTTGGTCATGAGCCGTAAGTAACAAGACGATTTCGCACAAAGAGATGGTATCAAATGGTAAAGGATCTCTACTAGAGACCAATACATTTACATCCACCAGAAGAGTCTAGAACTCCAAAAGACACTACCAAAGAAGCCAACAAACTTCACGGAGTATTGCAACTGGGTTTCAGAACATGTCGTAACCATGGGGTGATTCTCAATACTACAATGGTTACTGAAACCTACTATCCAGAGAGCAACCAAGAGTTGCCGACAGAGGGATTAATTACCAATCTGGTGGAATAGCTTCCTGCGAGTTAATAGGAAGTCTTCCAGAGAAAATCTATTGGTTGGGTATGGAGTTACAAAGGATCGGAGTTAGATGACCTACAATGGTTGTCATGATGACCACCTTTGCAGATATAGCTGCGGATAAAACTGATCATTTTATCAATGGCGAAGACAATTGGAGCCAACTCAGTTCGACATAAGAACTAGGCCATAAGTCTAAAGACCCTGCTAATCGGGATATTACTATTGGGGACAGTACGTTTCCTAAGAAGAAATATTGTAATTACTGAAGAGAGTGTGATGGTTTTCAGGGTGCATAGGTGTTCGCACCTTGGAAGAAAACTCAACATTGCGAATTACGATTGAAGAAGTACATAGTTGTATGAGAAATAGATGTAGTCCGCGAACACTCAGACGTGGAATATAAATATCGAAGTGCCTCCCAAGCTTTAGACATCATCAAGCAACGGAGAAGAGACCTTAACAACATAATATTGTTTTTACGATTCTACCCTACTTTACCTATTTTACTTCGCTCCTAGTAGTCATAAACGAAACGAGTAAAGTCTGAGCCTTCCTAGACAATCTCT